AATTCTGTGTTTTATTAGATGTGAAGAGTTTACGTTTAACAGATCTACTGTATATTATTTTATCATAACCTACCTGTTGATTGTACTTTGCTGAACAAATGGGGCCAGCATTATATGTGTTCCCCTTTAAATTAAAGACAAAAAACTAGTAAACCTTCTTCTTTTTGCTGTGATTTAATGATACAAAATCTTTTTTTTTTTACACAAAAGCAATATCGTGAAATATAATTTAACAAATGTTACAATGTTGAATCAGTGGGCTTTAGCCATAATGATCAGTGAGAAAATGTCTTGTGAGAAATGTGCAAACTGCACCTGCAGTAACAAGTTTGAAAACATAACATTAAATAATATACATGATATCTGTTGTATAAATACAGAGAGTCAAGTGGATTGTAATGTTAATCTGTATAATGTTAAAATATGTTGTTGAGGATCTTGTTACAGTACATCCAGTGCCAAGACAACAACATATGTGATCTTTCCCCACAGGTCATGTTTGTGAGTGAGAAGTAAAAACAACTGTACAGTGAAAACTTGTTTTTCGCTCACAGCAGGGAAAGATAATTTCATAGACAGAATTCAGTAATAAACATGACATTATTCTACCAACTGATTATTCTGCCATTTTACTTATTGTTACAACGTCTGGAATTTCCTTTCCTTTCAGTAATTTGCTCTGTGTTCTGCTAAATGCCTTCAGGTTGTTACAGATTCATGCTGTGTACTGTAGAAAAAAGGAAAGAGCCAGGGTTTTCTGATTTAAGTAACTGTTTTAATTTGGCTTCAGCAAAGTGAAACATTGTGTGGGCCTTGTTTTCGACTATCGAAATAAAGGCAGTGGGTAGGTGACTTGTAGGTGCCTGAGCTATATACAGTAGCTTACTGAATTACTCCAGCCTCCCTTTTGTAGAGCAAAATCAAAAGGGTGCTTGAACAGTGCCCCCATCTGCCCCAGCAAGACCTCAACCTGGCAGTGGTGCTGAGGGGCAAAGCAGGAGAAGAAAGAGATCCGTGACCTAACCCAGGATACTTAACACATTCAAGGCATAAATGTTTTGTTTACACATGCCCAGAAAGAGGTGGAGGTTTCAGAGGAACATATGTACTGTCCCAGCCAGTAAATTGCTCCCAAGAAAATGCCAATTATATTTATTTTCAAAACTTGTAGGTCGAGCTTGCTTTTAGTTAACAGGATTTTTTGTGTTTGTGTCCCTGAAGCTTTAAGCACAAATAGCAGTGCAAGAGAAAATGTGAACTGGGTGCTGGTCAAAAACAAACGAAAGCCAGAGAAGAATAATAATAATCATAATAAACTTTATTTTATATAGCGCCTTTAAAAGCGCTTTACAGGATGACAATAACAATAAATAAGAAGACTACAACAATAAATAAGAAGATTTCACAAGATAAGACACAATTACAATTACAACAATGACAATAGAGGAGACAGTGGAAGTGGTACTAAGAAGAGCAGAGGGGTGAAGAATGGAACCAGTTAAGTAAAGGCTTTTCTGAAGAAGAAGGTTTTGAGTCTGGATTTGAAGGAGTTT